AGTAACTTATAAGTAGGACTGGAATTTTGTTGAAATATCGATTTTTTCTGGTCTTTTAAAACAGCTTCGTAAGTGAAAATTGTGATTTAAGTAATAAATTATTACAATAATAATAATTAATTATTATACTGTATACTGACCATTTTAATGTAACTTTTTATTTTTCGAAAAATTTAACTTTTTAGACATTTTTAGAACGTTTTACATTAATTGCGATATTTTAGAGCATTCAAATCTCGGCTCAATTTACAATTCATTACATAAAATTTTCATTTTAAGCCGTTATTTTTGATAGGTTATCTTATTTTGAATCTAATATTTTATTAGAGTTTGTGCACTTTTTAAATCGAAGTTTGAAATGTTGATAAAGATTTAAATGATTTTTCAAAATTGCATTCAATATAAAGATATTCTTTGGAATAAAAGTATTTAAATACTAGTGTATCAAGTTATATGTACTTATTAAATGTATACATCGCTGCAATGTCGGGACAACGTTATATTTAATTTGTTATTAAATGTACGAACATAATCTTAAATTGCGTAGTAGCATTAGTTTCGTAGAAAATAATATATCAACAGTAATTTAATTTAAGTCATGTCTGGACACTGTGTTGGTGCGACGTTTCCTGATTTTATTTCTGAACTATGGATAGGTTTAAAGGTTATCAAAAAACATAAAATTATTTTCATTTTAAATGGTTTTATATACATAATAATGTATTGCCACACTGATAAATTACAAGAACACATTAAAAATTAGTCGTTTCAAAATTATAATCATCTCATATTAATTGTATTAATTTTACATCGTTGTAAAAATATACGTATTAAATATATAATACTAACAATAAATAATCGAAGAGATCAATAAAAATAATCATCTTTTAAAAGTGTTTGTTGATAATTTATTAGTTGTAAATTATTAGATATTAACGAAGTCAGTAACTGTTGAAATAATTCATAATAAGTTAAAGTATATCAATCCTGTCGCGATGTATTCATTTTTATTAACTTAAAACATAATATTATTGCAAGGACTTAGAATAGGGATTTTACTATAGTATAATTCGTTTGTGAAAGTTGATTTTTAATTTTCAATCGCAAATGTTTTCGTGATAAAAATAAACATACATATTATATGCAGTAAGTATCACATTAGCGTACGTAACAAAATTAGCATAAAACCATTATTTCGTGTATACTGCGCGCGGGTGCAGACGTCGTCCAAACGCTGAAGTCAATGGGAAACGATGAAAAATATAGCCCCTTGATTTGCGAATAAATTTTACATGATTTGCAATTTTGACGTAGGCAACAATACCATTGTATAAGTGCACCACTATGAGATCTAGTTAAAACAGAACGAAAAAAAAAATATATATATATATATATATATATATAAAATATTATGAATTATTAATGTAAACAAAATCGTCGATACAACTGAATGCGGAATCGTCGTCGACACAGGAAAAATGTTGGTCGTGTATAATAATATATGTATAGGTATAATGTAGGTTATTTTCTACATATTATTATTGTTACTTCTGCTGTAAGTTCTACGTAATACGCCGACAGGTAGCCGGTCTGACGATAACGCGGAGTGCGTAATATGCGCGGAACCGATACTGATCGTAAACGGTAACAAATTACAATGAGCATTATTATTTATGGTCCGTGTTTGTTTATATAATATAATATACATAGATATAACGTTCCTTCACACGATATTATCTGTACATGCGTTTTCCCCGTTTACCGCTGAACTAGTATTGTCGTATTTATGTATAACCGTGTGATTCGCGTATTGTTATCACCTCGATCCTTAAACCACATGCATTAATGTTTCTCTCTTCTTATTGCCAAAATCGATCGGTCGCAAATCGGATTTTGCGGGCGGATATCTCGTGGATAATATCCATCAATCGCCGGCCGACTACCGTACCGCACAATAATAACAATATAAACACGCACACACCCATTGACCACCCTCTTCCCAATCCCCGTACGTATTGCCTACCGGGCCAACCGACCCGACGCGCATTTGGGGTTGTTTTCGGGTGCAACGAACTCTCTTTCATCCAAACGGGGCGTCGTCGTAGTCGTCGTACCTACCGGGTAATACGATATAATATGTATTATTATTGTGAGAGCACCATACACACACTTAAAATCGTGGGTAAGAGCGTACGGGTCCGATGTCGCCATCACTGCAGTGTACTATTGCCACACATACACACATGAGCAGGAGATAAAATTATTATAAAACGACTACGCGTAAAAAAATATTTTATACAAAACCGTGTACAAAATAATATAATATGCGTGTATAGGTGCTGGTTGGTTTTTTTTTCGGAACCTTCGATGCCGTCTGTGTTTGGCGTATAGAGAGACAAAAGCGGCGGCGGGGGCAGCGTCTAAAAAAAATATTAATGTAATATATATATGTATACAAAAGAAGCGAATTTCCAGTGCGAATAATATATGTATTATTGTGTAGTGCGTGTCGGCTTCGCAGACGGTCGTGTGGGAAGGGTGGCGGGTTGGACTTGCGAGCGGGGTTTACATTATAATATTATACGTACGCGTTCCACACTCTCCGTCGCGTTGTCGAGGTCGGTGTTCGGACGGCGGCGGCGGCCTCGCTCGGCGCGGCGCCGGTCGCGGGGGCCACGTGTAGGCGTCGGACCGTCGTTTCGACCGACGTCGGAGGGCCGCCGAAACGACAGTCCGGCTCCTCCACAACCGCCGGCCCGCACCGCCGCCGCGCCGATGCGTTGGGAAAGGTTACACTTGATCGCCGCACGCATGTTCCGCGCCGCGACGCCCGCACACTCCGCCGCCCGTAGCACCTAATGAAAATATTTCGTGTTACGATTTGCGCGTTGCATAACTACACACACACACACTTCACAACTCCGCCCCACCGCTGCCTGCCCACGCGGTATAATCTCGCCTCCACCGCTGCTGCCGCCGCCGCCGCACGCACAAAACGATATTGTTGTTATCTCGTTTTTAAGCCGATTTTCTCATGACGACGTTGCATGCGCGCGATACGACCGACTGCAGCAGATAAATAGTTTAAGGCGTCCGCGTGTGACGTGTTTGTATTACAATTATGCACACAACTCGAAGCCACGCGACGCTCGTAATAATTGGCGATAATAATAATTATTAGTAGGTGCTTTTTTTTTTTTTTTTTTTACCATTATCCCATGACCCATTTATTATTATTATTATTATTAATAGTAATAGTAGTAATAGTAATAGCGATACTACTGTGACAATCGCACACGACACCATTATCAGCGCATATACGAGCACTGTGCGTTACGCCGCCACTCCCACGTACGTCCGCCGACGAAATGTGGCCCGTACCTTATTATATTATTATATTTATACTAATATTATCATCACTGTATTACTTTTGTGCACAATTATTATAATTTTATACGTTATGCGTACATCGAAACCTATATAGGCGATATTAGAATATTATTACAATCGCTATTGTTGTTATACTAGGTAAGCGCGCGATCATGTGTAATTTGTTGTGTTCATATTTTATTTATTTTTTTTTCATCACTGTTCGCTCACTCTCTCTCACTCTCGTCCCATCCCGGTCTTTCACTCTTTCTCTCCGTCGGCAATGAAACGTGCGTTGCCTTCCTGCGTGTATGCGTACTGCGTTTTTGACAAGAACAACAATAAAATAAAAATTCGGCAGATGCACACGCGCTCGCTCCCGAACGGCCGTGTCAACGAACCCTGGGCCTACCAAATGCAGGCGCGCCCCTTTTTTCGGAGAATAAACGCCGCCGCGAACGTTTTCGTCGTCGTCGTCGTCGTCGTTTTCGTCGTTGGTATCCCGACCCCAATGCCCGACTTATTGGCTCGCGTGTGCGTGCGCGGTGCGTGTGATTCACCGGGGTCAACGCACCGGTGTCCCGCGGTCGTTACCGCAGAACGCGTTGTAACGAAAAAATCAAAACCTCGTTTTTCCTTTCTTGAAAAAAATAAAATAAAAAAAATATTGTTCTATTAATACCGGTGACGATCGTCGTCATTCGCCAAGGTTGTATAATGTTATAATGATATGCGTCCGGACCAAAACGAGACTACCCGTGACGCCGGCGGCATGTGTCTTGTGTTCTTTCGCGGGTGGCGGTGGTGGCGGCCAGGGCTCTCGTTTCCCACACGAAAAACAACCCCATGCTCCACGTGTGCCCGGCAGGTGGGCCGATGCAGCAGCAGCAGCTGAGATCGGGGCGGCGATAATAAGTTTTTATTCTTACCGCTGCAATGTTCTTGTTAATATAATTTTATCGCCGACGTTTTTCACCCCAACACCCATCGCCATACAACAACACCCCCCCCCCCCCCCCGTCCGCTTTTTCCGGACAATCGGCCGCGTAGTGTGCACATAGTCGTTGCAGCATGCTCAAAGGGAACAAGGACGAATCGAAGGCGCGTTTTCGCCGTCGTTCGATGACCTCCGTATTTTTGGGCTCGTTACGTTATTATTTTTCCCCTACGGTTCGCGAGCGTATACATATACATATACGCGCGCGGCGCGCTGCTCCTCCGGCTCCCCGCGCCAATCCGCTCGCGCGCCCGAGTTCGGTCGCGTTCGGTTCCAGTCGGCACTCCGCGGTTCTTCTTATCGCGGGTGCGTGAACACACACACACACACATACGCATATTTACGCATATATTGTTACGTACAGCACTATATACGCAGCGCACGCACAAACGCACTCGGTAACAGTCGAATTACGTACGCACGCAATGCTATAGGCCCATAGCCGCCGCCAAAGCACGAATCGCTGCGCGCGTGGGGAGGCACCACAACAACACTATAGCAATAATATAATAATAATACTCGACGACATATAGACGGTGTAAACGCGCGCGCCGTTGACGCCGCCGCCGCCGCTGCTGTTTTCTCGCTCGCTCGCTCGCGCACACGCACACACACACACACACACACACACACACACACACACACACACACACACACACACACAAGCGCGCGCACACTTGCGAACGTCCGTATACACGTGCCGCCGGGAAACCGAGAGAGGAGACCGTTTCGGACGGAACGCTCGCGCTGCCTTTAGGGCTTCAGTAGGCTGTTGACTGTTGGCCGCGGTCCCGCGACCGCGCGATAATACTGTACACGTTATATTATATACCGCGCGTCCGCATCATCGCGCAACACTTGTACCGCAAACGTTCACCTGCACAGTAGTTACGTATTTGCGCTTATCTCGAATCTTCGAGATTTTCAATTTTTTTTGTTTTAATTTTTTTTTTTTTTTTTGTTTTAGTTAATTTTATTTTATTTTTTTTGAATTTTTTTTTCCCCGTTAAATTCGTTTACCGTCCGTCTAATCTCTGCCTGTGCACGCTTGCCATCTCCGCTGTCTTTTCGTTTTCTTTCCCTCTCCTCGGACGTTCGTATATAGGCAGCTGCGCCGCTCTCATATCGTATACATAATAAATATATAGTCGGTGTGTGTGTGCGTGTGTCTATGTGTGAGAAAGAAAGAGAGAGAGTGTGTGAGAGAGAGTAACTGCATAGTTGCAGTATAGTCACTACATTTATACTATTAGTCTCGTCTAGTCTCCGGCACCGCGCGCTCGTTTCCCTGCTGACAGTATCCGCGGAGGAATGCACCAGTGAAAAAATGGCTCAGCTTTGGGACAAGTCACAAAAACAGTGGATAAAAAATTTCTGGCTCAATCTCAAAAACAACAATAAAAACGCCGGTGGTAAGAGAACAATATAGAAAAAAAAAACGCACGTTTTAATTTCGGTTTTATTTTTATTTATTTTTTTCATTTATTATTACCGTCGTTGTCCGGTGTCATCGACACATACTGCAGACTATTTACGGTTTTAATACCGAAAACGGACGACAGACGTTTTTTTTTATTATTATTTTATTTTTCAAATTTTTTACGTACACCTCGCTAACACGTTGCGATATACGAATGCAGTTTGCTTTGTCTAAAAACGTAGGATTATGTTTACGTTTTCAATTTTTGTTGATAATAATTATAATAATTTTTTATTCCATTTGAATTCTGATGTAGTGACATGTAAAACTGTCTGCGTTTGATATATATATATAATACTATTATAGATCCATAGCCCGTATATATAGTTGACGTAGCAAAATGTGACAATATTATTATTCGCGCGTTGTACACGTGTAATATTCAGTTTTGAATAATAATTGTTTTATGAATATCATCTAGCTAATTAATAAACTTCAATAAAATAACTATTATAAATTCTTTGTTCATTTTTGGTTTATAGGTACCAGAGATATTGAATTTATATTCCATCAATATTTAATAAAAATAATTATAATACCAAAAGTGTATAAATAAATTTTCTCCAATTTAATAAGTACTGCTGTTAGTTACTTATTTTTAAATTAATTTGATAGGTATTAAAAAATACGTTATACATTTTCAACATTGAAGTAGAGTTATTGCTATTATTTTCAAATTTTGGGCTGTTTTAATTACGTATATATATTTGTAAATGTTTACTGTAATATATCTATTTCATAGTTCTGTTTTTTATAAAATAAAAAAGTTGTAGGTATATTTAATTGTTAATTATAATTAAAAACAATGTTTTATTTGAATTATACATAGGTGTATGTAATATTATTTGTATATTATAATAAATTACTACGTATGTCATGCAGTCAATAATTGTCTGCTGTGCGTATTTATAAGTTGATTAATTATATACATAACATGCATTTACTTCTTAAAAAAAAATCTATTATATTTGTTTATGTTAATTTTATTCATTTATTACCTATCTAAATAACTATTTTTAAAAATCTAATGTACTTTAATATTACTGTCTTTTTAAACTCACGTGTTATACTAATTAGTTAGTAATTTTATCCATGAAATAAATCAAATTAATCAGATTTACGATATTATTAGATTAAATCACTAAAAATATATTTGAAACTCAAAGCCAAAGCGTTTTTTTTCTTGTGTAATCTTGTGTTACATTTTATTTTATGTTTTGCAATTCGTAAAAATAAATTAATAGTTTTTAATTAGTATTTTTACCGTGATGAAATTCCGGTTGTAATTAATTAAAAAAAACTGTATTACTGACACACAATTATTGGGAATATAATATTGAATCCATATCATATCTAAAATACGTATTTTATTACTTATCACAATTAATATGTATAAGTTACAGCTAACTAAAATGTTTCTAATTTTAACGTTGATCTTTAATGTAAGACCTTTGCCTTGTTTTTGCCTTTTAAATCATTCAATTAGATATATAGTCTGAAATAGTATTCGGTAATAATACCTGCTATAATAACAATAAACACTCGTAAGACACGATTAAGTTATTCTTATTGCCCGTGTTAAAGTGTTTTGATTGTAATTTATTTACACGCATGAACCTATAATAGTTGATACTTTTTAAACACTTGTATTAATAATAAATATTTATTTTTCTAACGCGTTTGGTATTATATTATCCTTGAGTACATAATTTTGAAATGTATTTACTTTATGATGTTATTATTTAGGGTGGTCTGTAATAAAATTTATTTATAACGAGACGTTTAAGATTTATTACGTATAGTTGCGATGCCTGTATGTGTTTAATAGTTCTGTTGATATACCTATGATTATTTCTTATAACATGTAATTATAAATCGGTTAAATAACATACCCTTTGTCTTTAACAAGCATTTCGATTTCCTTTTAAATATTTTCGTTTTTTTCTCTATACAAAAATTAGTGAAAATGTGTAACTAATAACTAATCCTGTAAGTAGATATTACCTCGGAATAATATAGTTTTATAGAGATTATTCATATTTCTCATTTTGACATTTTATTTACGTCAAGAAGTTTTGAAAATCTATTAACACTCGTTTCAGAATATTGTTGAACTTTCGTAACTTTCATAACAAACACCTGGAAATTTGCGAGTTTCGCGTGGCGCGGCGTCACGAATAGGCAATTCATGGGCGTCTGTGTCTTGTGTGCAAAATAAAGTATTTCGCCAATCTCCTCCTACATTAATGTTTTTCTTTTATGCTACCGAATACCGATATATTATCTTGCTACGCGCGCACATCACAATCATCATCAGATATAGCAAGAATAATATAAATAAATCAATGTCAAACAAACTATTTTTTTTTTTATTTGAATACACAACTATTACACTACAAAAAGTAATTTTAACATATTCTCCGAAAATACGATGTCAGTCCTTAGTATAACGTAGAAAAATAGAATTATTCTGTTAATAATACAACATCTACACATATAATAATATTGTACGTACAGCGTGCGTGTTATAGACAAGTCATTTATTTCGTATAGTGAATATTATATTGAATAGTTTATTATTTTTATTTTCTACAAAACGACTTACTATGTAATATACATAGGATAATCCATTAAATTATCTGCACTTTTTCCGTCAATTTGTATGCTTTAATATAGATAGTTTGAATAATATTAATTATTTTCTTATACTATATTTTAAATTAAAAAAACAAATTTTTATCATGATAGTTATTATTTACTTAATATAAGATTTCTAAAAAATAGCGAACAATTAAAACATTTAAGTAGTATACAGTAAAAATTCAATGATTTATTATAATTTAAAAAAAATTGAGTAACCTGATGTATTCAGTTTCAATAGTTATATACTTAATATGGAATGACATAATTTTAATACTGTCATATGATATTCAAAATGTTTTTGCATTTTAAACCTAACTAGCCGTTTGTACGAAAGATTAGTTCATATTTCATAACACCCTCTCTCATTGTTTTTAAAAACCAATATGAATTATTAATTAATTAGTTTCATCAATGACAAGAGAGTTTACCGTGTGAAAAAAATATCGTACGTAAATGTGTCAAACAATTAACACGCATTATATATTATAATGCGCAATATATTGCTATAGAATCATTAATCGCAAGTATCACCACACTGTAAGCTTATGTACTTAACGACTCGTGCATAAAAACGACACAATAATGCGACGACGATTATATGAAGAGCGTATGACAACAATAATATTTTAAACATTATTTCATCGACAATGAAACGGCCGTGCGTTGCTTTGTATACTGATATAAGTCTGTGCGTTTATATATTATAAACGTATTTCACGCATAAAGGCGCGAGCTTTTAAAATATAATATGCACACTCACAAATATTAAATTATGACTAGAATTATAAATATGATATCTATTATAATATTTCATTTAATGACACACTCGGAGAAAGAATATTGTACGGTTGAATGACATGTCGATATTAATACATTATTATATACAGTTTGATATAATTAAACTTGTCGTGTTATGTTTCTTTTATGCGTCGTACTCCGTGAGGTTTTGATTTTGGTTAGGTTAAGTATTCATGTTTGAAAATATATTTATTAGTAAAATCTGTATAATTGTTCAAAATTAAATGAATATATATGTATATTACATACTTTTCATAAATATTATTCAATAAACTCTTGAACACACACAAAATATGATACAACCATAAAAGAGATGTTGTATACTTTGGAAACTTCTTGAGTGGCCTGTATGGTGTATACGTATAATTTCCCAAGTATAAACCTATATCAATGACCAACTGCTGTATTATATTAATGTTTGCATTATTATGTCTTCCGATCGATACAGTTTTTAAACACAATACATAATAGACACAGAGGTAATAAAACCAGAGTGATAAATAAAACTGTTATCAACTATTATAAGTTATATAGTACAAAGAAATCACGATTGTTAAAAAAAGCGTAAAATACAATTAACTTACAAATAAAATTATACGAAGTTATTATATTTATTCTGTTTTATAAATATCATTCCCAGTTTTTAATTTATAATATGATCTGTTTGTACATATACCTTGAACAAATCATATACCGCAGTAGATAATATAAATGTTAGTAAATAGCAATACTTACATGCGTTATTTGAGTTTAGAGTGAGCCTAACGATAAGGAATAACATATATCAGTTAATTTTATATCATATTTTGTTTTTTTTTTTTTGTGTTTGCAGAAAATGTTTTGGGCCATGTATCCGACATGGTAGAACTTATCAATGGAGAGATGCCGATATTGAGCTCGTCTGGTGGAGGAGGATCAACAGATTTCGTTCGCGTTGGCATCGACTGCACTCTAAGTCCGTTAAAACCGGCAACTGCTACGTCCGGTAGCCTACACAATCAACAACAACAACAACAACAACAGTTGCACCAAAAAACGGCTATCGACGTTGCAGAGAACGCTTCCGAGGGATCGGCGGCAGCAGCGATCAAGCGCGTGGTGTGCAGCCCAGACCTGCCAGTTTTCACCATAACGCCGGTGGTCGAAGAGGCGGCCGTGATCATCGACTCGGCTAAGACGGCGGCCGCAGCGGTTGCGGCCGCACCGGCTGTACTGCCTTCACCGCATACAGCCACCGCGGTGACCGACAAGTCTCTGCAGTGCAACGTGTGCCACAAGGTATTCATGCAGAAAAACGCTTTCCAAAATCACTTGCGATCTCACGTGAAAGACACGACGACAGACGGCCCGTTCCAGTGCAACTACTGCAGTAAGTCGTTCACGGTACCGGCCCGACTAACACGGCATTACAGAACGCACACCGGTGAAAAACCGTACAAATGCGAGTATTGCGACAAACCGTTCTCAGTGAAGGAGAACCTGAGCGTGCATCGGCGCATCCACACCAAGGAGCGGCCGTACAAATGTGACGTGTGCGAGCGGGCGTTCGAGCACAGCGGCAAGCTGCACCGGCACATGCGCATACACACTGGTGAACGTCCGCACAAGTGTTCGTTCTGTGACAAGACGTTCATCCAGAGCGGTCAACTGGTCATTCACATACGTACCCACACGGGCGAAAAACCGTACGTGTGCAAAACGTGCGACAAGGGGTTCACGTGCTCCAAACAGCTCAAAGTGCACACGCGCACTCATACGGGCGAGAAGCCGTACTCGTGCGATATATGCGGCAAGTCGTTCGGCTACAACCACGTGCTCAAGCTCCACCAGGTGTCGCATTACGGTGAGAAAGTGTACAAGTGCACGATTTGCAACGGCACGTTTACATCTAAGAAGACCATGGAGAGCCACATCAAGAGCCATTCGGACAACGGTGGTGGTGGAGCTGCGTCGGCTGCCGTAGCTACCACTAACGGCGTCCAGGTAACCGGCGCCACTGCGACGGCTTCGACCGCGGGCGCACTAGTCATCACTGTGCAGTCGTCGTCTAACAAAAAAGACGCTTCGTCCGAGGGTGAGACTTCGTCGGGTTGCGGTAGCGACAAGGAAAACAACAAGTCGACGGTAGCCGCGTCCGCCGCGGTATTGCTTCAGCTGTCTGACGAACCGAAGCGCACTAATCTTCTGCAGCAGCCGACAGCAGCGACGGCTACCATAATGGTTCGGGAAGACGACGGTGATGGCATCGGAAAATCCGATGACGACGAAGACGACGAGGACGACGAGGACGATGACGACGTAATGGTAATGGGTGCCGCTGACGTGGACACCGAACTTAACAAGCTGTGTCAGTACTTGTATCCCAGGTTACCGGGAAACAACCGCAAGCGCAGTGATTATGACGATGACGAGGATGACGACGAGTACAATTGCGACCAACCTCCTAGTCCGGCCAGCAGCTCTTCGGGTTCGTTGATTCTGACCATGGACGTGTCGCCGCCACCCATGACTCGTCAACACCAATATCAACAGCAACAACAACAACAACAACAACAACAACAGCAGCAGCAGCAACTTCACCAACAGCATCACCAAGAACAGCGACAACAACAACAACACCAGCAGCAGCAGCAGCAGCAGCAACAACAACACCAACAGCAGCAGCAACAACAACACCAACAGCAGCAGCAGCAGCAGCAACAACAACAACACCATCAGCAGCAGCAGCAGCAGCAGCAGCAACAACACCAACATCAGCAACAACACCAACAGCAGCAACAGCAGTCGTTCCACACGATGCAGACGGTCACACAGCAACAGCGACAGCAGCATGTAGATTATGTCATGTTGATGGCTACCGAAGATCGTGAAGCCGTGTCTCCCGTCCGATACGTTGCTCCTGCCGCCGACGAGACTATGGAGATGCCTCCTGTCGTGTCGTTGACCGCGGTGCCGTCACCGCCTCCGCAGTCACAACCATCGCCTCCACTGCCCACGCAGCTCAACGACCGGGATCACTTGAGTCTGCCACCGCGGAAACGGTCGAAAATGATACTCAAGTCGATGGAGAGCACGGCCAAGAAAGAGGCGCAGTGCAGCCGATACAGCTCGGTAATACAGTACGCCAATAAAGCCTCAATTTAAACGTAAACGATCGTAGTATTTATATTATCATCACAATTTATTATTATACTTATTTATGAAATACTATTATTATTATTATTATTTCGTATTAGATTAATTATTATAATAATAATTATGGTGTAATTATCCCAAATCTTTCTTTTTTTTTTTTTTAATTTTTTTTTGCAACGACACATTATATTATCATAACGTGGAACTTTATTTGCCCAAATGATAAATAGTCAAGTTTAACATAATTATTTTACGTCATTATAGTGTTATAGAAAAAGAAACATTTATTATTTTAGTATCTGTGATATGATAATACATTATTTACCAAAATATTATTAGGTGAACCGTGCCACTGGGCGGGGGAACGACGTAAGGAGAGTTCCGATAGTTGTTATCAAAAAACAGGAGTATATATTATAATTATTATTATTTTATACGTTTTAGTACTAATTGTATTATTATTATTATTATTATTTATTTTTTAACAAATATTTTGATTCTTCGTATGTGTTTCCTTCGGACGTTCCTTTCGTATATAGTTACGAACTTCTTTTAGTCTGGGAAAATATGCTGTGTACACGCATTATTTCTATTTATTTTTTTTTTTTATTAATACAATTTTAGTCTATATATTACTAATAATATTATATAATATAGAATAATGAAATCATACGGGTAGTAGTTAATTACATTCTCTTGCTAGAGGAACAAAAAGTCTGTCGAGCAGTTTTTGCTATAATATAATAATTATTATTAATATTAAATTGCATATTTAAACACTATTAAAATGCAACAAGTTGCGTAGTTTCATTGTTTTTTTTGTTTCTTTTACTAGGTGCATAGGACTAAATATAGTAATTAATAACGTAATTGAAATAATACAAAATGGAAAATCATCTACCTCATTTGTATGCCTTAAATATTAATTGCCTATAATTAGAAAAAAACAGTACAAATCATATTATCCTAAAGTGACGAAACTCACTGAGGACCAATTTATATTTAATTAATTATTATATTTATTGTGTGTGAAAATATTATATTATACGCGTACGTGTGTGTGTGTGTATTTTGTGAGTATTTGTGCATATACCCACACATACACTTACTTACGGTAGATGTTCGATGTTTTCGGACCTTGACATATTGAATTTTTCGAAACGTCAAACTAAATCGTATCTTTTTTTTCTTTTGTTGACTTTCGAGATTCTATTAAATCTACTGTACTTTAAAAATTTAATTTAATTGTAAACAATTTTTTTAATATATATCAGCCTCAATCAACAATATAAATATTGTTATAAATTAATTTTTTATATGTAAATACATTGACTGTCTTCGTATTTATGTATAATATACAATATAATAATAAGTACAATGTGTTATATAATAATATAGGTACGAAGTGTATGTAAATGTACTGATTTTGGATCTCTTAATATCTCTGTAAAATCTGCAGGAACGCATTAATATTGTTCTACAAAGAAGTATATAGCATTTAATGTTCCTACGACAAAATCATTGTTAATTAGTCCATACCTTTACAATGTTGATTATTACACGTAAATATAGATGAATTATTATGTTGACTTCTACGAGAATATTAAGTTCGACCTAGAAACATCTATGTTTTACGTATAAAAAGAGAGAGAAAAAAACCGCTGTAATTTTGAACAACTATACATTTTATATGTATTATATTATGTATGTTGTAAACGTTATTATTAGAATATAATAAACATTTATAAATATATAGCTTATATTTGAAAGACACTAATAATATAATTGTCGTTTAAGTAGTTTTTTAAAATATCTATATGTTATAAATATTTATTTGTTTATGATTATTTTATTTTTTGCATTAATATAACTAATTATATTATAATACGGGTAAAACTTGTTCAACTGATGGTGCAAATACATATTATACTTATAGTGAACATTAATGTGACCTCGTAAGGAGTATCAAGTGCTTTTTTTTCATTCTTCTTAATTTGGTTTGTGTTTGTTTGAAAAAACAAAAACAATTATTATATTTATTATCATTATTATCTTTATTATTATTATTATATTATATTATTATTATTTTTTATTATTATTAAATAGGAACATTATTATTATGAATATTATTATTTTTTAATTTTTAATGTAGTTAATATGAAAATCTTTTATCATTGTTTACAACTTGTAAGATCATATATGTGCGTGTGTCTAAAAGTCTGGAAACTTTTGTTTATGTTATTATTTCAATTGTCGGTGTTTCCTTAGTTTTTGACACACCTTATATACGATTTTTGGAGTACAATAACAATAATAATTTGTTTGTATCCCCACAAATGTACAATATTATGTAGCCATTACATTTATATACTACCTATAGTCTAATGTTTAGTCTTTAGAAATACTCAATTTTAGTGTTGATAGTATAGTATATTCATTATTATCATTTTTAAATTTTTTTCCTTTTGTTTTTGAATGTTTGAAGTGAATTGTATTTTACATTGTGCAGACTTTATTCGAAAATAAATATCAAATACCTACCTCATTAATATAACAAAAAACTGTGTGTAGTTATTCAATTGACTATGTTGATGCCTTGCATTGAAGTCATCAAGTTAAGTACTATTATGGGAGACTTGCATGCACATCGACGTTTAACAAATAGTTTTAAGCTGAAAGTGTATTACTAGATTTTCCAATTCCTTCGATATATTGTAAAAAATTCTTAATTCTTGCTCAAAGGTTATCAAAGATATTAATTTTAAAGTTCGAAATAATTGCCATCGCGTTATATTTTTCATATAAGAGTTATCGTTGTCCGAGTATGAACAATTGTGGCTTAGTCCACTATTATCTTCGCAACTATTATCAGTATCGGTCACGACGACTACCAATATGGTCACTTTCTTTTCATTTACTTTGAATAAAACTAGCAAAGTTAACATATTATTATTGGTGATCGAAATTTTGATCTATTACGTTCATGGTATGGATTTTATTTATAATATTACGAGTACTTAAAATAAGTTTATAAGTCGGTAAGTTTAACTATCGTAGCTAATGTCAATAGTAATTTGACAATTGATTTAATTTATTCCATATTATACATGTAGGTACATATTACCTACATATTCAAATGCTTTATTATTGCATTATAATTATATAGCACTCATAAAAATTAAATATCATTTGCAAATTGGCAATTCAGTTATTTAAATATTTTTTTATTCTGTTAAATCTTCTTTTATAATAATTTAATAAACGAAATTGCTGTTTGACAAACCGTGAAATTTGTTTCTCTTATATAGTAGCGTACACTAGGTTTCAAGTGTATCTCGTTATGGATCATTTAAATAACGTATAATTTTTTTAAACGTGAATTCAATGATAAGTTACTGTAAAAAGATAGCGATTAGTAGCAAAGGAGACTAAATAATTAATGTTACATGTTATATTTATTTATAAGTACGAGTAGTATTTATTATAATTCGATTCCTTTAACTATTGTTTTGCAAATACATCACTACAACTTTTAAGCCAATACCATACTGTCTGTACTGTTAATTGATGTGAATAGATTTGTGGTATAAAAATCTTATTATAAACTATTTACAAAAAATAATTTATAAACAAAAATGTATATTTGGTATAAGTAATAAAAGTTTTGGAAAGTCACACAAGATTATAATCAATATTTTTTTTTTTTTAATGCATATCTAACTACTCGATAACTAAAATTGTTATTTTTAATTTTGTTAAAATTTGAACTTCATACATTTATAAAAATCAATTTTCACTTTATATTTTTGATATTTTTCAACTGCCAATGAAAAAAATGTTTATTACATTTTCAATAAGCCCTAACATTGATGATTAACTGAAAAAAAACTAAACATTACGAAGAACCTTGACATATTGTAGTAAATTGTCAAGCTTTTTAACAAAGGATGTTGTTAAATTACCTACAACAAAAACAAAATAAATTTTGTTGAAAATTTGTGTTGCGTAAACATCTTTGTTTTTCTGTTGTTTTTTCTATTTATTTAGAATAGTGTTGAATAGATGACTATCTAAAAGAAACCTTTCTCAAAGTTCAAAGTTCAAATTTTTAATCTGCTCTAAAACGTGATAGCGGACACAATAATATAAATCATACATTACACGTATTTCATTTTTAAACTAATAATATATATTCTTATTAAAATCAAAAATAATTAAAAAAAAAAAAATTTTAACATTTATATGGATGAAAACTTTTTTACAAAAATCATGGTATAAAATGCAGGGGATCAAAAAAAAAATGTTTATTGTGGACAATCGCCATGGATAAATTATAGAGTAATTAGATTTATGAAAAATATTACATTTAATCTAGTTGTATAATATGTGTGCGAATATATTTTGTATAGATTTATATTGTTCTAATGCCGTTAATTTGTAACTTCAAAGCCTTGGCTTATATATACAATATACATATAGATACCACTAGAAATATATCCATGAGAAGTTTTAAATTACCTAACAGGTTTAACAAACTTCTAGATTGATATGTTCATATTTATTGGCTTTTATTTTTATCTGAAAAAGAAAACGCGAAGGAAAGTGAGTGTTTAACCTCCCCTATCTAAAAGTTGAACCCCTGACTCTGTACTGTTCACGCATGCGTGACGCTCGCCTTTCATTAATATATTTCGTTCCTTTATTATTTTTGAAGGGAGAAAAGTTTTCACGGCACTTATATGTATATCGTACTAAGCAGCGCATTCTCTCACAAAATTCACTATAACTTTATTGTAAACGAAAGCCAAAGAAGAAAATTATATCTAAGTACTGTATACACAATATTTAAGTTTCTATAATTGGTTTATAAAACGATTTTCTTTTTTTCTTTTCATTTCGTAATTTATTAAAGTGACAAACGAAAGTCAAAAAGTCTCATACTCAGCATATTATAATCCTTCTATAAGTATATAAATTTAAAATTGGACACACGACGTTGTTTTGAGATATGGTGGGAATTCCTATTAATTTAAATAATAATTATTTGTTTCGATTATGTAAAATATATTACATTTTTATAAC